CCGCACTGCGCATGCCTCTCGGCCACGGGTGGGGGGGTGTGACACCTCCCCCCATACACTATGGTCAGGCGCATCAACTGCTGCCTACACATGCATGCGTATATGCATGTCTGTGTACATGTGTGTATGTATGTACATGTGTGCATGTGCCTATGGATGTGTGTGTGTATATCTGATGCCGTTAGTCTGTAGGGGTGCGTCTCTAGCCTACCCTCTGGTGCTCCTTGGCAGGCGGTGGTAGCCTGCATGTCATGAATACCTATGCACGCCTGCATTTAGGTCTCTGAAATCCATGTGCCTCAAACGAGGCCCAGCATGTGGCCCAATTGATGTCCCCTGTTGGTGCCTGGAGCCAGCTGCTGGGACAGGTGGCTGGCCGGCAAGTCAAGTAGTGGCGCCGCACATAGTAGTGTCCAACGTGTGCTGCCGTGCTCGCGTGTAACGAGAGTCCCAACAGGAAGCTGACAGTGCCTCTTGGTTGCAGGTTTCCTCTCACAAGGCCTGATCTCTGCAAGAAATGGGAAGCCGCTGTGAAAAGGAAAAATTTCAAGCCAACAAAGTACAGCAGCATTTGCTCAGAACACTTCACTCCTGATTGCTTTAAAAGGGAGTGTAACAATAAGCTCCTGAAAGAGAACGCTGTGCCCACAATATTCTGTTACACTGAACCAAGTGAAAAGGTAACCATGAAAACTCCTCTTTAAGGAGTGACTGACACAAATTTACATATGTAGCTATACAATGCATGCTTTTTTTTTTTTTTTTGTTAACCTCAAGAAGGAGAACGGTGGGAAGCAGACTGTTCCCTGTGCATGATCATAGTTTTGGTCAACTTATAAGCAGGGATCCTGGTTTTCCATTATAATCCCCCCCCCCCCCCCCCCCCTTCTTTGATAAATTGTAAATTCTCTGATAAAAATCCCAAAATCTGTGTTTAAAATTAAATGCCTTCCACATCCCCCCCACAGCCCTGCTGGTGTCTCTCACTCCTGTCCCCCAGTCCTGCTTGTGCCCCTGTCCCACAGCCCTGCTGGAAGAGCCCACAGCTGCTAGGGCTATGGGGCCAGGGACCCAGGTCCACAGCCCCCAACGGAAGGCAGCAGTTGCTACAGCAGGAGCACGAGCCAGCTCCCCCCACTGCTGCCTGCCTGCCTGGGGCGGGGCTAGCTCCCCATGGCAGCGTGCAGTCCTGGGAGCCAGGGGGGACCCATGCCCCCCAGATCTGTGGGGGGTAGGGACAGGGCGGGTCTGCGCTGCCCCCATGTACACAGAGGAAGTGTGGCCAGGGCAGCATGGAGCTTGCAGCAGCAGGCAGCTTTCTTGTGTGGCCCTGCTGTGCCCTGCCGTGCCAGTTGCACACGCTGCACTCTGGAGGGCCTGGGGGAGGGAAGCAGGGTAGGGAGCACAGCGTTTCTGACACTCAGTCTGCAGCTGGCCGGCACTCCAGCTGGGGGAGGGAGGGGCGTGTTCAGTCTCCCCGCTCCCGGTCGGAGTGCCTGGCCAGCTGCAAACCTCACCTCCTGGCTAGGGAGTACCCAAGCTGGCTGGGGGCTGAGGGAGTGTGGAGATTTGCAGTCGACTGGGCACTCCAGTTTGCAGCTGGCCAAGCACTCTGGCCAGGAGTGGGGAGGCTGCAAACCTCACCCCAGCCGGAGTGCCCAGCTGGCTGCAAACCTCCCTGCTCCCTCAGCCCCTACCCAGCTTTCTCCCCTCAGCCTTGTCGTGCAACCCCCAAGCTCCACTTACCTCCAGCAAGAATAGTGAGCCTGAAGCAGCCTCTGGTAAGACTTGATGTCAGGCCCTGCCCTTGCCCCTCTCCCTTCCCCTCCGGGCAGAGTTGAAGGTTTCCCACCCCTTTTGCAGACAGCTCTTGCAGGCTGGAACTCAGGCAGCCTACAGAGCTCTTTGCAAAAGGGAGAAATCCATGGGTTTCTCTTCTAAAAGGGAAAATCCGTGTTTTCTCTAATAAAAATGGGACATCCATGGTTTTTCCATGGGAAATGGAAAATGCAGATCCCTGCTTATAAGGCAGTGGTTCTCAGCCTTTTTCAGACTCAAGACAACCCTGGATAGACTTGAGGCTTTCCGTGGTAAATGCTAGCTCTTGGTTTTCACTCTTTTTTGTGTGTGTCTGTTTTGATTATGAAAAAGAATAGAGCATTTTTTCTATTCTAAGCCACCACCATGGATTTCTGTTTGAAATCTCTGAGTTTACTTTGTGAATCCTGTTTGCCTATCTAATAGTGCTAACATTGTGTGGCACCTGGCGGCACCCTTGAATGGATCTCAAAGCGCCCCAGGTGCTATGGCACCCTGGTTGAGAATGAAGGTCCAGAGGGCTGTAGAAGTAAGATATGGTTATTGGGCAATTTCTTCACTCAGAAAACTTGACCCATTGGAGGTTGCTCTCAGTTGACCTTGGGTATCATGATGAGCCAGAAGGGAGAAGGTGGCCCCTTGGGTGCATAGTGGGTACATACAGATCTGCAAATGATCTCGCCCAGGAGCCTCATATGCACGCTGAACAAGAGGGGCAATAAAATGGAGCCCTGGAGGATCTTACAGGAGAGGCCCTGAGGCAATGATGAGCATTCTCTGGTCAACACAGTTTGGGATCTTCTTGGGCCAGGAAAGTGTGGAACCATTTGAGCTGTGCTTTTACCTTCTTGAAATCAGCTGCACAAGCAAGTTTCTGAAAATTAGTTTACTAGAGCAGGGGTTTTCAACCTTTTCTAATAAGCGTATCCCCTGTGGCCAGATGTGGGGGAGGAGGGGTGGTGGCGCTCTGTCTCAGCCTGTCCGCACATACCCCCTAGGGCTTTCCTAAGTACCCCTGAGGGTACACATACCATTGGTTGACAACCCCTGTACTAGAGGTTTGACTTGGTCAAAATGCTTGATATCTTATTCTTCACATGCAAGTTTAATAGACCCACTATAAGAAAAATAGTCTCTCTTAATCTGAGACACAGCAGGGATTATTGAGGCTTTCCAGGGCTTGGTGATACATGGGCACCTACAAAACCTTTAAACCAGTACCAGAAGCAAAACTCATTTGCTTTGTGTCAAGTTGAAAATTTGGAACTGAGGGTCCTAAAGCCCTGTTCACTTTTGAAACTATAGGTCTACAAATATATTTGTTACACTGAATATTGGAAGTGGGACATGTTTATTTGCTAACTTCACTCGTGCTTTTTGCTTTACGACAGACTGGTGCAAGTGCTGAAAAAGGCTCACAGTGTGGCAATTCGCTTTGCCATTCACAAAATGGACTAAAATGTATTCTGTCTTGTTATTTTAGACTGAAGAGTTTTCAGAGCAAGCAGAAGATCTGTCTCCTCCTACACCGCCATTGCCACCACCACCTCCACCACCACCGCCGCCGCCACCACCACCTCCTCCTCCTCTGCTGCCATCTCCCCCATCAAATCCTTCCTTTCCTTTATCTCAGATAGATGCAAGACTGGTAGATCCAAGTATTGGATTATTAATGCCTCCTCTCCAGACCCCTAGTAATCTGGCAGTTTTCTGTGATCACAACTATACTGTAGAGGATACAGTTCATCAGAGGAAGAGAATTCAGCAGCTGGAAGAGCAAGTGGAAAAACTGAGAAAGAAGCTCAAGACAGCACAGCAGCGATGCAGACGTCAGGAAAGACAGATCGAAAAACTGCGCGAGCTCGTTCAGTTTGAGAAGGAGAAGGACATATTGGCAGGAAAAGGCTACATTATTCTACCCAATGACTATTTTGACATTGTAGAAGTACCTGCATAAATACATTGACATCCCCTTTGAAGGGGCAATACCAAGTAACATCTTCAGGCTAACACAGTTCAGTTTAAAGAATAAATACTCTCTAATTCTCTGTGTAAGACTATTTGAGATTCTAAAAGAATAAAGAAGCTATGTAATGTTAAATAGATCACGTTTGTTGTTTCTTCATTGTCACTGACCCTTTTTTGTTAATAAATTGAATTAATGTTTTATATACATCTCAGAATTAGAATCTGCATTTAGTTTATTATGTCTGCTTTGCTTCTAAAAGGGGAATGCAAGGTTAAGCATGTCTAAAATGTGTAACATGCTTGTAAAGAGTTTTCTTGTGCTGCAGTGGTGGGGGCAGTAGGGAGGGGAGGCAGGTCCACAGCTAAGAGTGAAAGCTCTGTCCTACGTGTACAATAGTCTCGATATTCAAAGGCATTTGTCATTGGTCTAACTGTTCCCATTAAGGTTAACTTCCACTGACTTCAGTGAGAGCAGAATTAGGCAATGGTGATCAGTCATAAATCCTGCCCTATACTCTGTCTTATTCCATGCATATTTCAGGCTGGAATAATTTTCTAACCTCCATATAAAAGCATTACACTTTTAAATCATGGCATAATCCTTAATCTCAATGCACCTCTGGTGTGCTAGATAACTATGTACAGTCAGCCTTACTGTATATTGCTATGGAAAAACTATGGGTGGTGGAAAACTTGTTAAAGAATCATCTGACAAACTGCCTGTTTGAGGAGATGCTTTCTTTGGCAGGCCAAAGAACCTGAAGAGCTGCACTAGAAATTCCTTCAAATAAAGGCTAGGTTTCTACTTTGATATTTGAGATCAAAAAGGAATTGAGTGATTACTTCCTTCTACTACATCTGATTATGTGATGTCCCTGAGAATTACAGTTGGTGAAGAGAAGTGTGTCGACTATATGGTACAGGCTCTGGATGCTTTGGATACATATACATTTATATATATAATATAACAGAGGGGAGCCTGGAACTATGGAATAGCTCTATTTTTCAAATGGGTGTGGTCAACACTTTCAAACCGGTGCCTAACCTGAGACCCCTAAATAAATGGCCTGAATTTCGAGGGTGCTGAGCAATCTCAACTTTCAGTGTGACCAAAATGTGACTTTCCAAAAGGCATGCACCAAGTCAGAAACAAACCAAGGTCAGACTTTGGGGTATACTGACTTCTAGGCCTGTCATTAATTTCCCAGATGCTGCTGTCTCTCCTGCCATCCTCATAAGACTCCCTGGGCGCATCCACACATGCAAGCACGTGCGCTTGCAGCAGGTCAAATAGAAGCGGTGCAAATTTGAGCTGGGTCTTTTTGCTTCAGCACATGTGCTTGGACATGCACTTTGTTGAGGAGCAAATTGTGCCACTTGGGGCAAAATAACCCTGCCTGGCTCCTCTCAGATCTGGAGCCAGGGGGAGTTAGAGCCCGGGTCCAGCACCTGTGCTGTCCCCAGCAGTATAAAAAGCTGCCCTGGCAAGTAGCTCAGGGCTACTCGCTCTCAGGAGCTTCTGGGCCCTGGACAATTGGTACCTGGGGACACTACCCCTTGTGCCAGCTGGACTGCTGCAGCAGCCCTGAGCGTTTCCTGCACCCTCTACCCACTGCAGCAGTCTGGTAGTGGGGGCTGCTGCGGCACTACTGCCATGTGTGCCCCTGCCCAGCCCTTTGGGTAGCTATTGCCCAGAAGATGTTCTGGGCATGGTGGCCTGCTTTGACCTGTTCAAACCATGTCCTCCTGGCCCCAGTTGGCCAGGAGGTCAGCCACAGCCAGCTGGGTCCAAGGTGCCAGCTCTGAGCAGGCAGGGTCCTGCCACTGGCCTCCCTCGCAGGAATTCTGGTTTTCCCTATTGGAAAACTGAAAAATCCCTGATTTAATAAAATCCCAGTCACTCTGTAAAACACCCCAAAATCCATGTTCCGCCATAATTAAAAAAAAAGACCACTATAAAGAGAGAGAGTGAGACAGAGAGACAGCAATCAGTTGGGCAATGTTTTATTGATATATCTACAGTGTTAAAGCAATGTGGAAGCGTACCAGTGTCTCTATCATAATAATAAAGTGAATTCTAAATATGTGTTTAATGAAGTCATGAAACATGAATATATATTTTACTGCCCTCCCACAGGGGCTATGGCCCCACTCGGATTATGGCCCCCAGACAAGGGCTATGGCCCCCCAACAGGGGTTACGGCCCCTCAACAGGAGCTACGGCCCCCACACTAGAGCTTTGGCCCCCCAACAGGGGCTATGGCTCTCTCAGA